GCAGGACAATGCACCCCACACACACGCAAACCCCCATTAGAGGCCTCAGTGGGACTTGTGCTCACAATAATCAGCCAAACTGAAACAGTGAGAGCAGGAAGCAGCTGAGAAGCTATGGAAGACACTTGTTTACAAAAGAAAACTGGGGAAAACAGAAGTCATCTCTCCCTTTTGTGGGGAGACGGTTTTCCACTTCATCATTTTGCAGCTGTGCGTGCTCTGCTTCGTGGAAAACACTGGCACCCCTCACCCTTCTCCTCTGTGTGTCAGCAGCGCCTAGAGACCCTACCGAGCTCCTGCGTTCTCAGAGAAGGGATGCCACTGAAGACAGGCAAACACCAGAGAACTACACCGTGGTCTACACTGCACCTTTAGACAGCTTCTCCCGGTGTCAGAGAATACGTGTTTCCCCTAGAGTTGCAGTATTTAATGTCACCCACTACCAATGAGACACATGTAACAGGCCAACTTCTTGGGGTTTTTTTCAAAACAGGGTATGTGGAACTCTGAACAAAGAGTACAGTCAAGCTGCGGGGCTGTCCTTGCTAAGCAAGGTGGAAGTTGCGCTCTCTGTACCGAACACAGGTCGGTCATTCAGTGTCCCTCAGAGGCGCGGTCTGAAGGTCCAGGGGCCCTTCTTTAACCATAAGGTACAGACTGTGGCCTGGAGCTCATCCAAATCTGTACAAAACGATGAAAACAGAAAGAAATTTTTTAAAAGAAACTGAGCTCTCTGGATTGTGATATTTTCAGAAAGTACTTTTTGAGAAAAACTCACCCTACCCCCTCAGTCACAATTATTTAAATGTAAAAAAGTGAACTGATGAGAAAAAGCAACAGTCATAACACTTCCTGAGAAAGGCTCCAGAAACTACACGAAGGTACCGTACTTCCTGCAACCCTGGCAGCAGGCGGCCGTTCCTGACTAATGCAAGACCTAACCCCGAGGAAGGGAAATGAGTGTGGATTCCCGTAGGTTACAAAAGACCAAAGGCCTGCTGAACTCCCATAACAAGTCCGGCACAAGAGGCCTGGGCTGCCAGCAATCCGCCACATGCTCACTAGGTGACTGTCCTCTTGGCGTAGCCAAAAGGAAATCAATTACACTGGGGGCCAGAAATCCAAAATATATTTATAACCCACAATAAAGCTTGGGTAGCCAAATGTACCAGGCACATCAAACTGCCTGATGAGAACTGATCACAGATTCTACGACTCCAAAGGGCTTCAGCCAGCCTGACTCCTAGCACCCTCAAAACCAACCCATTTACATTAATCAGATCACGCTACTACAAAGGGATTCTCATTCAGACCATTTTAATCCCAGGCCAGTTTCTATCTGCCTACCAGCAGACAACTGATGAGTCTAACTCATCACCAACTATAACATGCTCAGGGATACTCATGTACCATTAACTTAAAGCTGCAACTGGGAAAGTCAGGCCGTTGTAAATCTTTCAATTCACTGCAAGATCCAACCTGAATTATTTGCGACAACTGTGCTTTAATTCTAAATATCCCCTTCCTTTCCATTATACTGCTATAAATAAACCAAGAGATGATTACACTTAACTCTAAAAAGGAAGGAAGACTGAATCCTAACATCACGAAGTTCAAAGAAAAGTAACTTCTGGAAATCTGGTGGTCCCTCAGAGTAGAAACTACTTATAGATTAAACAAGTGACCTGCCACTACAATGGAAGAAAATCTAATTGAAAACAATCTGCTGATCACCTGTATCCCTCTTATAATTCAGAGAAGTTAGGAACCCCCTACCCATCCAACACACACACTAACAAGCTCCTAGAATTGTAAAAAATTTCAAACATAAAGATAATTCTGCACATATAGCTAAAACTGAAAATAGTTTAAACAGGAAAAAAAGTAAGCCATAGATAAAATATTTCCTCGTATGGTAGGCAAGCTCAAGATCAGGAACTAATGTCTTCATGAAATAATTTCTGCTTGGTCTCAGCTACTCCAAGTAACAAGACCTTTCTGTGTGGCTGGATGATTCTAAAAAATCCTATCCGAAGCATCCATCTCCCTCTCCTGAGCTCCTGTTTTGCCAGTCAACTGGACACTGAACACCTCACCTGGAGAAACCTGTATACTGATTAGCGTGACCCAAATGTGGCACGCGCCTGTAATCCCAGATACTCCTGGGGCTGAGGCAGAGAACTGCTTGAACCTGGGAGGCAGAGGTTGTAGTGCACCGAGATCCATTATCCGCAAAACCTGAGCCTCTTTTTCGCTCCCTGTTTTCGTGAAACGTACCAATATCCATGTGCCCCATCAGGACTAATTCTAACTCAGCCCTCTTTTCTGCTCCCACTGCCCCTGACTTCGTATAAAAGCCCCCACCATCTCAGGCTGAACCAGAATCAACAGAAATCATACATGGAATCTCAGAACTTGTCTTCCTGGGTCTCTGGCCCACACTGGCTTGCTCCTAGCTCCTCTTTTTCCCTCCCTCCAACCCCTACTTGGTACCCCCAGTCAGCTCCTGGAAATGGTTTCAGTATTGGCGGGACCTCAGAATTGCCTTTGGCTGCAGTCCATGTCGCTCACTATCATTCCTTGAACATCCACTCCCCATCTTCTTCACCCAACCTGCCTACTCCTACCCCTCCTTCAAAACAGCTCTGAGCCATTGCACCAGGAAGCCTTCCATGACCTCTCCAAGGTACTGCCATGACCTTCTACCTACTTCTTATAATTGTTTATGGGTCTAAGCATCTCGGAGGCGGGGCTGTGTCTTCCTCTTCGCTTCCTGAGTACCTAGCACAGCACAGCAGTGCTCAATACACACCAGATGAATAAATTAATGGACCCAGCGGTCCCTAATGATAATGAGTCAGATGCTAGCTTAAGAGGAAATGACAGTACTTCTAAATCATTAATTAGAAATAATTTTAAGTAGAGTTCTCTGTCTCTGTGGCTGTCTCTACGCCTGAAAGGAAACCTCGGCAGTAAAAGGAACGTTCCCCTCACGAGGGTTCACTGGCCCTCCAACAGCTGACTCAGATCGACAAGCTAAACCCTAAAATAATTTAAGCTCATGACTGCACACAGCTATTATCAATGAATCAATGATCAGCGAGTTACAAGAAACCACATCATTCGGGGAATGAGAAATTGGGAGATGCAACTGAATAAAGGAGAAGAAATGAAAGTCAGCAGCCAATAAGGGGTGAGCAGCCACAACACACATGAATAACTCGAACACCAAAGCCACAACGATTCAGAAAAAACTGCACCGAATAAGGCAAAGAAAGGCTCAGAAACCTACACTACCACTCAGTGCTGGTTTTATTCCTTGGCCCTACCATAGCCATTATTTCCAAGAATTATAAAACAAGAACTTCTGCTTAATGCCCAAGAAACTGAGTTGCTGGTTGAACTGCTGTCCCAGAGAAACAATCTTCTCCCTCAGCTTAATGAAGAAAGATGAAAGCACACAAACTGCATCCACTCATACTACTTACAAAACAGACTTTAGAAAGTCAATTTAGACTATCTCCACTGCCAAACTGCCCCCCACCACCAAAAAACAAACAAGCACACTCATGAGAGATTTTTAAAAAAGAATTTGTGTCAACTGTCCCAACATCCTTTAGTAATCAATTCCAATGTTGAACAATGATCAATAATGAAGTGTTTTTCATATAGTTTAAACATATAGGGGGAAATGACAAAGTCATCTAAACATCTTGTCTTTGAGGACAGAACATTTTTTTTTTGAAACTGTAAACCAAATCTCAGTGGTTTGATGCCAGGACACAGAAGTCATCTGACTTCACCACCCACTAAGATGAGCCGGTCTTTTGCTAAACAATGAAAGAATGAAAATGCAGAAAAAATGGAGGGGCTATTTCTTTTACAGTCCCAGTTCCACTGGTTTAACTGTGAAACTTAGAGACATTCTGAGCAGTACGATTCCAAGAGTTCCATCCTGCCCTGATTCTATCACCTAAAAATTCCCCTAAATCAAACTTCAGTTTTCGATGAAAATCTTCCACCATACATCACTATGAAGCAAGCTCTTTTCTGTACCTAGAATCAGCACACATGACTGGACTCCAGATCTCTGTACTAGGTATCTCACCCCAGGAGGTCAAACCTCACCCAAGGAGCACAGGTACAGATAGAAAATCTAACACAATGCAACCTCAACTAACGGACGCAGTTCTAAGATATTAAAGATCAAGCTTAAGGCTCAAGAAAACTATTTGCACCCAAGAGAATTGTTCCCCCCCCCTTTTTTTTTTTTTAATATTAGCGAGCCTCAGGCCAGCATGTTCTTGGCAAATGTTTATTTTAAAAGACCACTGCCTGAACAAATTGCTCCAAAGCCTACTTCATCACTTACATAACTTGAGTACTTTTCCAGAACACAGGCCCTTTGAAATGTGTAAAAAGTGTTTCGAGTGGTTCCTCTTCCCATGCCTGAATGTTACTAAGGATTGCCTCACAGCTCTCTCTGGCAGGATGTGAGAAACGCTGCACACACAAAATCCCAGCAAGGCTGATTCACTCACGCCGAGTCACCTCACGGCCAGGATTACTTAAGGAAAAGACTCCTCTTAACTCTGACACTCACATCCTGGGGCCAAAACCGCGATATAAACATAGCCTCCGGAGCTCGACCGAAGCTCCCTGGATGTACACACAGTGCCCCTTTTAATGTGTAAGTGCACAGTGGCCGGGGCTCGCCACCAAGCACGGGGTAGCGGGGGAGCAAGGAGTCCCACGACTGCGCAGGAGGCCCGCCGGCTGGACCCGGCCGACAGTGGCGCCCAGGTCGTCCACCCTCCCTCAAGAAGGCCAGTGAAGAAGCACATAAGTCAGGCGCTGAGCCCCGGGTGGCAGAAACCGGCTCGGGGACCGGGGAGGGACTCGCTGCGGATGCCCAGGATGCCGGGCCCGGGGAGTTTGAGCGCCGGGGGGCCGGGCCGCAGCCTCTAGGGCTGCGCTCTTAGCCCGGCCGCCTCTCTCACCTCCTGCGCCGGCGGTCCCGGTTCCTGCCGAGGCGGTCGGACAGGCGTCCCAGGAGCGCGGCCAGCCCGGGGCGGCCAGGCAGGAGGCCCAGCAGTCGCCTCCAGAACACGGGTCCTGCAGCCCCTGCCGCCGCCACCGCCATGGAGACTAGCCGCTTCCGCTTCCGCTCCTGGCGCGCGTTAACTTTATTGACAAAGGCGAGCGCGGACACGGCGCAGAGGCGCAGGCGCGCAGGCGCAGAAGCCCCGGCCTGGGGAGGGCGGCCCTGCACCGCCCCCAAGCCTCAGTTTCCCCTCTGGGGGCACAGGCGACGGATAGTGGTCACGCTGCAGGAGCGGGGTAGGAAGCCCGCTCGTTAAACCCGCGAGGACGCAGGTGGCCTCCATTCCTGCAGTCACCCGTCACAGGTCGCGGAGGAAAGGATGCAGCCTAGAGGCTCAAGCACAGTCACATTTGGCTCCAACTCATCAGCTGTCAGAAAAGCTTTTGTTTCTTTGCTTGCTTTCTTCTGAGGCAGAGTCTTGCTCTGTCGCCCAGGCTGGAGTGTAGTGGCGTGATCTAGGCTCATTGCAACCTCCGCTTCCCAGGTTCAGGCAATTCTGTCTCAGCCTCCTGAGTAGCTGGGATTACGGGCATGCACCACCACGCCCAGCTCATTTTTTTATTTTTAGTAGAGACGGGGTTTCACCACGTTGGCCAGGCTGGTCTGGAACTCCTGACCTCGTGATCCACCCCCCCCCCGGGGCCTCCCAAACTGCTGTGATTACAGGTGTGAGCCACCGCACCTGGCCTGTTTGTTTTGAGACAGACTCTCAGTCTGTCTCCCAGGCTGGAATGCAGTGGTACGATCTTGGCTCATTGCAGCCTCGACCTCCCAGGCTCAGGTGATCCTCCCAAAGTGCTGGGACTGCAGGCCTGTGCCACCGTGCCCATTGATTTTTTAATTTTTTGTAGAGTTGGTGGTGTTAGTATGTTGTCCAGGCTGGTCTTGAACTCCTGGGCTCAAGCGATTCTCTCCCCTTGGCCTCCCAAAGTGTTGAATTACAGGCATGAGCCATCAAGCCTGGCCACTGGCTGTCAAAATTGACTCCTCAGCCAGGCACAGTGGCTCTTGCCTGTAATCCCTGAACTTTGGGAGGCCGAGGTGGGGGATCACCTGAGGTCAGGAATTCAAGACCAGCCTGGCCAACATGATGAAACCCCATCTCTACCAAAAATACAAAAAATTAGCTGGGCGTGGTGGTGCATGCCTGTAATCCCAGCTACTCAGGAGGCTGAGGGAGAATCACTTGAACCCACCAGGAAGAGGTTGCAGTATGCCAGGATTGTGCCATTGCACTCCAGCCTGATGACAGAGCAAAACTCCATCAAAAAATAATCATAACAGGCCGGGCGCAGTGACTCACGCCTGTAATCCCAGTACTTTGGGGGGCCGAGATGGGTGGATCACGAGGTCAGGAGTTCAAGACCAGCCTGGCCAACATGGTGAAACCCCATCTCTATTAAAAAAAAAAAAAATCATAACAATTGACTCCTCACTGATAAGTGGGGAAATTACAGTTTGAGGCTGTAATTGATAGGGTGTTCTTTAGGCGTGTATAACACCCCTAGGGTGTTAAACTTGAACAAAGTCTGTTCTTGTACAAAGTCTTGTAACCCGGTTAACGCTGACTCACTGAGGTGCACAGAACCACAGAAAATCCCCACCAGACAGAGGGGGGATCCAATTTTCACCCTGTTAGCCCCAGAAGCTGGAGCTCCATGACACAGAACAGCCTCAGCAAGTCTGCATGAGATGAACAGAGTCTTCCACCCTCCTGATGTGCCCAAGTGCAAACATGTCACTGGCCCCTGGCAACACACAGTTCTATACCCAAAAAGCTGAAGGAGCACATCCTCATATGCCAAGAACACTTTTTTGTGTGTGTGAGATGAAGTCTCGCTCTGCTGCCCAGGCTGGAGTGCAGTGGTGCAATCTCAGCTCACTGCAACCTCCACCTCCCGGGTTCAAGCAATTCTCCTGCCTCAGCCTCCTGAGTAGCTGGGATTACAGGCACGCGCCACCACACCTGGCTAATTTTTGTATTTTTAGTAGAGATGGGGTTTCACCATGTGAGTCAGGATGGTCTCCATCTCTTGACCTCGTGATCCACTCACCTTGGCCTCCCAAAGTGCTGGGATTACAGGTGTCAGCCACCACACCCAGCCAACACTTTTTATTTTTTGAAATGGAGTTTCACTTCTGTTGCCCAGGCTGGAGTGCAGTGGCACAATCTTGGCTCACTGCAACCTTCGCCTCCCAGGATCAAGAGATTCTCCTGCCTTAGCCTCCAGAGTAGCTGGGATTACAGGCGCACACCACCATACTCAGCTAACTTTTGTATTTTTAGTAGAGACGGGGTTTCACCATGTTGGCCAGGCTGGTCTCAAACTCCTGACCTCAAGTAATCTGCCCACCTTGGCCTTCCAAAGGGCTTGGATTATAGGCGTGAGCTCCCTAGCCGGACCAAAGAACACTATTTGCAGCTAATTTTAAAATGGAAAAGCCTGTGGCATTCTGAAAGGCAGGAGAGGTGTGCTCTGATCTGTTATATGCAGCTCCCGGGCTGGCCCTCATGGGAGCTGGAAGCTGGAAAGGCTGCAGGACATAATCGTAATCTACTGTGATGTGAGGTTAAAATGACGTGGACACACTGAAACAAACACTCCAAAGTCCACTTCCAGAGATTATCAGAGAAATCAACTACACATTCCCACAAGAATGTTCATCTCAGCCTTGTTCACGATATTCAAAGTGTGGAAGCAAATCTCCGGGGGCAGGGGTTGGTTAAATAATGATACATCAGTATGTTGGAAGACCATATATCCCTAAAAATAACATGTTCTGGAAGAATAGTTAATAACATTAAATGTAAAAGCCAAATTACCACGGAGTAGTGTAGAGACCATCTCATTTTATTAAAGGTGTCAGAGAGAAAGAGAAACAGGAAGCACTTTGGGAGGCCAAGGCGGATGGATCATGCGAGGTTGGGAGTTCGAGACCATCCTGACCGACATGGAGAAACCCCATCTTTACTGAAAATACAAAAAGTTAGCCAGGTGTGGTGGTGCATGCCTGTAATCCCAGCTACTTGGGAGGCTGAGGCAGGAGACTCGCTTGAACCTGGGAAGTGGAGGTTGTGGTGAGCCGAGATCGTGCCATTGCACTCCAGCCTGGGTGACAAGAGCGAAACTTTGTGTGAAGAAGGAAAGAAGCAAAGAAGGAAAAAAAAAAAAAGAAAGAGAGAGAAAAGAGAAAGAGGAAATATGTGTATGTATACAGAAAGACTGAAAGTAAATACACCCAAATGTTAATGTTGGTTATTTGGTGCCATTAAGGAGTTTCCAAACTGTTGACAACAAGTATTTCAGACTGGTTTTAAGTTTTATTTTACATTTAGCTTTACTAATGCTACATGGAATTTGATTCAACCCTTCCAAGTTAGAAATGGTGAATCATCAAATTTCCTAACTTCCAGTAACTAGAATGAGGCCATCCACTGCATGGTTCCACTTTTGCTCCGTTCCTGGCCCACGGTTGTTGCAGAGTAAACACTTGCTGCGTGGCTACACCACCCTGCTCAGCGGTGAGCACCACGTGGTGAGCCATGGGAGCCTGGTTATCATCCTGGAAAGAGCCGGGAGCTTTTCTGCATGGGTGCTTTGCTGCCCGAAGTACTGAGATAAACAGCCATGGTACAGGCTCACTGGGAGTTCCCAACCTTAAATAAATGCTACTTAACAGACAGCAATATTGATAGCATGGTAAGTCAAACTAATAAGTATTTACACTAAGGATAAACATCAAGGAATGACCCAGTCCCTTCTGAAACCACACACCGAGAGCTGCTGGCCTTCATGGCTAGTTTGAAACAGACAAAGCTATCACCAGAATGAGGCAACCACGACTTTGCCACAGGACACATACATTGAGACGTTGCAAAAATGGTAAGTAATGGTTTTCAGAGATTGTGCAATTTTTAAATGATTACATTTATAGGATGACAGCGCATGCATTCTGTCAGGAGGTCTCATCCAGGCTAGTTACCAAATGCAAGCAGAGAAGATAAGACCCTCCCAGACAACACAGGTGACCCAGGGAGCCCGCCTGGGAGCATCCAGTGTGTCCCAAAGCTGCTTGGGCGGCTCACAACCTGGGTCAACGCACTACTGCTGCAGACCAGATTCCTGAATTCCCATGTTCAGTGACTGCGGACAAGAAGACATCTGTCCCCTGAGTCCCCTCGCCCTCCTGCCCTCACCCACCGCCTTCTTGTTAGTTATACTCGCTCTTTCCCAGACAGGAGGTGCCAGGGTTAGAAAGACAGGATCGCCGGGCTTGATGGCAGATCCCAGGCTTCCCAAACGGAAAAGGAAACCCATTCATTAGAAGGACAGTTGACGTCAAGGAGTGGTGGGCTGCTGCCCCTGAGAGTGGGGCCGCTCTCCCAGGCAGGAAACACCAGGAAATCCTGAGCCAACGGCCCATGCCTCACTGCCTGTGATTCACTCCCTGAACCGAAAATCACAGAAACACAAGAGGAAGGCACCCCCCCACCCTACGGTTTGCTTGCTGAGAGAGGGGTCTCTCCCAAACACAGTGTTATTAGCAAATTCCAAAGGGAGGAAGTGGCCCACCTGCTGCCTCCAGAGACAAGAAACTGTACAGGGGAGCTCATCAGCTATTTGTGGGAGCCTGCTCTTTGTTCAGAGGAATGCAGCCCGCTTGCTGGAGCTGGAATGAAACTAACTGCCCTGTAGGTTCCCCTTGCCCGCTGCCCAGACGGAACTGATTTATCAAGACAGGAGCATTGCAATGGAGAAAGGGTAATTCACGCAGAGCCAGCTGTGCAGGAGACCAGTTCTCATATTATTCAAATCAGTCTCCCCAAGCATTCAGAGAGCAGAGTTTTTAAAGACAATTTGGAAGGTAGAGGGCCTGGGAAGTGGGGAGTGCTTACTGGTGAGGTTGGAGATGGAATCATAGTAGGTCGAAGTGAGGTTTTCGGGCTGTCATCTGTTTCTGGGTGGGACGGTGTAACTGGTTGGGCCAGATAACCGGTCTGGGCGGTGTTAGCTGATCCAGGAGCGCAGGGTCTGCAAAATATCTCAAGCACTGATCTGCGGTTTTACAATAGTGATGTTA